CACAGGCTGAAGGACGAGGACCTTGAGAAAACATCTCCGCCGTGATGAACCATGGGATTGCACCTAAAATGTTTTGAATGGGACGTGTTTGTTAACTCAAAGAGAATAAAATACTCATCATAAGAAATTAGTACGATTGGGAAGAGCCGTGTTGGTGGCTTAAAGCTGTTTAGGATGTTCAGAAAATAAAAAATAGCGCTGAGGATTGAGGTCGAATAATTAGGGGGTTGTCACACACCTGGTCCGATGAAGAAGAACAAAACAAGAGCCATGGTTGCTATGACAGCCACGTATTCTGTGCCTTCTAATGACTATCAAACAAACAGGATAAAACATTACTATAAGATAACCGTGGGAAAACCAACATTTTATGGATTAACGCAGAGACTGTGCTTCTGAGCCTGCGCTATTGTGGTCAGTGTTCGTACAAAAATGCCTACAGCTTTGGAGGTCTTTCTATAAGTTACATATTGCAAACTATTTGGACATCTGGGGCTACCATTAATTGATTTCTGGCCACAGCGATTATTGGTTACTTAAGTTCAGGGACTTTGCTTCTGAGCCTGCACTACATGGTCATCGCTCAAACCACAAAAATACGCCCAGCTTTGGAGATCTCTGTATGAGGTGCATACTGCAAGCTGATTGGACATCAGGACATAGTGTTAATCTATAAGGTATGACTCGAACTTACACTGTAACAGAAAGCTATAGTCATTACGGCGTAAAATATGAACATGCCTCCTAAACCAATCACCATCAAGGTCCTTCTACCAAGAACCTCTACTAGCTTGACCTGAAAAAAACACCGTACAACACTCATGTCAGGAACGAATCGAATGAATCGAACGAAACGAACGAAACGAACGAAACGAACGAACGAACGAACGAACGCGGAACGAACGAACGAACGAACGAATAAATGTCATAAACAGAAGTGATATAGAATCACCACTGAACTTACAATCAATCCCGTACACACGACTCCAACAACACCKATGCCACACGTAGCTACTCGACTCTCTGGAACTCCTACTTTCTCGAATATTCCCGTGGAATAATAAAACACCTGGGATGAAAATGTAAGAATTATAAAAGTGGATCTGACTATCACTAGTTCTGGTTTGGTATCATAGTCTACGCTGTGAGGGACTGCACATGAGTACTTTGAAGTACCTGCACTTTAGCTTCGTCTCAGGGTCCGTGTAGGATCCTGAGGCTTTGTTTTCAAGCTCTGAAACCATTATATATTAAACAGACAAACTTCTTTACCATGGGCACAATGTTTTCTCACTTCAGACCACATGTCATTCTCTAGAGTATCATTTCTTTGTTYAACGGTTGTACACGAGAAGACACTTGAATAAGGATACAACTCAAACGAAGAATCTTATCCTTAAGAGAATGRCACGTAGTCTGAAATGAGGCAACATTACGACCAAGGTAAAGAGGTCTATTATACTGTGAAATATATAAAGAGTGTATAACAACATTTATTATGTTTTTCTTCTAACCGCATTGATTCCTCCCAGCTGTTGTGACATCTGCATGACGACGCCGATCAAGAGAGGCATCTGGAGATCACGACGCTTGAACAACTGCCACACGCTCACTTTCTCTTCTTTCGCTTCCCTTTCTTGTTCGATCTACAGACCAAGATAACAAGCACGATTATACTATYTATTCTCTAGTCGTATACTTATCGATACCAAGGGTTTTCCTACCTGCATATCCTGGATGTCGCTGCTGACGTCATCAGAATTTCGCAACACTTTGAGCGCTGATTTTGAGAAAGAAGAGAAACGAAAGAAAAAATGGTTTAATGAACCGCCATGAATTAAAGCAAACAGTTTGACCACCATTAGAAATGTAGATGTATAGTAACGTTATTAGGGCCACGTGTTAGATAACTCTCTGGGTTAATTGTGTCATCCTCCTTAAATAAATTTTATTGTCTTGTATTGTTTTAAGCCATGGACAAAAATAACGGCCAGTTGTTAGCCAAACGAATTGGTCTTGTTTTAAAAACTTGACAAAACCTACTCTGGGTTACACACCTTTTACAGCCTCAGTTTCTTTATTCAACGYCAGCAGAAGATATCTTGGACTCTTTGGACACCAAGGAAGAGCAATAACCTGCAGGGCAGCTGGTATGATACTGAATCCWAGAATATAAGGCCAGCGGTTCCCTGAACCCAAAGCCTACAAAACACACATCAAAACATGACAAATTTAACTTGGGATTAGAGGAAAAACAGTAGGATGAATCAAGGGTGATGTAACAGTAGAAATCTCGCCATTCACTTTTGGGTCTTTAGACAGGATCGAGGTTTGTAACGTCTCCCTGTGATTCAAGGATTCTTCCAGTTTTCCATCCTCCACAGGAATAGGCCCTTTGCAGCTCAGTAATCACGTGATGATTAATTCACTGAGAGCAAATGAATGAACATCTTGATTCCCATGGGTGAAATATACTGGTGAGCAAACAAACTTTCTACAACCTATTTTGAGAGATCGTAATAAAACTGCATTTTGTAACACACTGGTTACACATCGTTTCATTCAGTTCTTTACAAGTAGCTAAAAAGAATCAACAATTTAAGATAAAAAWTTTTTTTGCTCACCAGTACAAAAAGGGCCTGTTAACTTAGATCTTAGAGTTATCCCAAGRTGATTAGAAAATGGCAAGGCAAAAATAAACCAATAAAACCTTGACCATCTTACCTGCTTAAGCCCAGTAATGAATCCTAGAAGAAGACCCGTCACGATACCAAACTGATTTAAAGTCCCTAGGGAACCTCGCAGCTTGACAGGGGCTATTTCTGATAGGTACATAGGGATGATTGCTGTGATTACACCTAAATAAATAATGAAAATATACTTTCAATATGCCCTCATGGTTATATCAGTACTTATATATTAGTTATAACATCAATTTATAATCCTATGCGAGCGGCTATGGTAATATTATCCATTTTTCCATTTCCTGTCCAAACAAATAAATAATTTGAATAGATTTCGACGAACGTTTCATAAAAAAATTGAGATCATCCAATGATCCAATCAAAAATCAAGAAGAAAAAAAATAAAGGTTCAACCAATCAACACACAGCTTACACTTGTCGGTTTTSTAATTAATTCATTTTCAATTTTTAAATTCTTGATTTTTCAGAAATTTTTAGCAKAAAATTACTTGTTATGAATATAAAAATAAAAATCGTAGCAAAAAAAGCTGCGTATTGCATACTAAAACATTTTGCGATCCGTACGATCCAGTTAACCAAAGTCCAATCCAGTCCATCCATGAGCAGTTCTGAATTTTCCAAAATAGAAGATCCTCTTAAATTCAGAATTCAGAAGCTTAAACCAAATTTTAGCAGTTAGGMATATTTTTGCTAGACATTAAAAATATTTGTGCTCTTTCAAAAGATTAAAATTCGAAAAAATTAAATCTAATGCTTTGGGCTGCAAACTTGTGGATTTCCAAAATATAATTTACTCATCAGCCAAATACAATACTTGAAAGAACTAAATAACATATAGCTATARCTATACTAACTTGCTTGTTAATGTTACATCTATAATCATTAATATATTTGCATGTGTTCATGATTGGTAGATGTATTCAGTCTCATATGCAACTAACTTTACCAAACCCCATGCGTCCATTTATGACAGCATCCCCTTACCGCTGCTGAATCCACATATAAATCGGCCAATAATCAGAAGAGATGGGGCTTTGGCAACATATGACAGAGACATCAACAGCGCAGCGAGTATTGCGGGTATGTTGTTTGCCATRATTGCCATTTTTCTGTATGAAAACAAGAGAGGTACAATAGATTAGAGTACTGTATACAGCTTCACCTATCATTTTTGCTCATTTTACCTGCCAAACTTGTCAGCAATATGRGGACCAAGCAGAGCACCTATCATTCCACCAACAGCAAATATGGCTACTATTACAGACCACTGGAAGTCAGAGAAYGAGCCATGTTGACGAAAATACCCCTTGATATCCTGTAAGTCAAACCAATGATAAAACACATTCCTCTGTCCTCTCTGAGATAGACRACATACAGTTTAAAGAGTGTGTAGTATGCCTAAAGCATGCATTCATTTTGTTTAGCAACAATTTCATACTATGGCGTATTCCTGCTTACRAAAGACCCAGCGCCTACCTGCTGACCAAAATGCTAGAGGACTCTGGGTACAAGATTGTTGCTAATCAATATAAAAGCAGGCTCTTGAATAAGWTTAATTATAGGCTATTCAGACTGACAGGAGCTCTCACGCTACATCTCATCATGGTCTAAATAATTGTAGGTCTTGTCATTAGAGATAGCAAAACCCACGACCGGGAAGCACTAGGCCCAGAGCCACTCTGAAACACGAATTACCCAAYGGCTGTTTTATACTCTCACTATTTTTTCGTAAGCTGCTATGGTCAGTTTAATATCGAAACTTGTTTTTTTCTTCTCACCACCGGCAACGAGAACAATAATTAATATTCTTTACGAACTTCAGACAGGTGATTTAAACCATAATTAATGAGTGGAATGATTTATAAAGGTTAAAAGATTAAATGAACCAGGACAAGATGCTCGTACTATCTTACTTTTTATTTCGATTATCCTTTAATATGAGAAACTCTAGCTTACGATAGTCTTTGGACCAATCTCTTGTTACATAATTCTAGCATGTGTTTTCAGGGGTCATTGTTTAGTCACACTGTGTACATTACGTAGTATCAACAACTTCTAATAAGAACCGGCCAAATCAGCAGCTTTGTCATCCTTTCTGACCGTGAAGGTTATATAACCGTAAGAACTGGACAATAAACATATAGAAAGAATCAAAGTATTCCTGGCAAAAACACGGCTGGATACCGAAACACATGCAAGATGGCGCCGATGGAATCAATGGTTCGAGCAGTATTGACTATATTTTAAAGTGTTTAAATAACATTATAATATGAAGAACACGGTCTTAAATGTAGGTTTTTATTAAGATATGCTGATAAACTAGTGTAGTAAGATAGATATAGGTTTAACCTACCTCCTCGGGGGCGTTTATACACGACGTGTTAAACCCAAACTGCAAAGAAGAGCCAAGAACACAAACTGCAGTCGAATAAACCAACCAGAAAGTCCATCTTGAATGCTGAAATCTTGAATTTAATGGTGGTTGGTTTTGTAGTTCAGGTTTTTCGTCTTGTTCTCCGTTGTGTAGTTCATATTTGGCTGATTTACCGTTCACAGTCATGTTTCACARCTGGTCGTCAGCACTGTTATGTCATACTATGCTTAATTACTCGCTAYGAATACATGCGTGACGAAACACTCATCAAATCCAGAGTTAGTGGWCACAAACATAGCGTGACATTCGTGATCGCCTGACTAAGCCGAAAACACGCATATTTTATTTCCGCGAAGCCAGATACCGTTTKGAAATTGACATTATTTAAACTGAGTGATCGTCGAAGTAAGTTAGGTAAGTAATKAGGTGAAAATGCTTATTATGATATTCCTTGATAGATATAAAAGGCTACATTAGCTCTGTTTGTCGTTAGTTTAGAACYAAATTGTTCAGTTGCTGGACATGTGGTCCTTCATTGTTCAGCAGCGTCTTTTTCTTATCAGACGTGGTGCTCTAGCTGTGTCTCAGTGTATCAGTCGATGTGGAAACTTTGTTAAYTTTACATTATTTTGTATTGATATTACTAGAAAAAGTAACACATTCAGAATCCGCGTATTTTAGATTGAGTTATGTGATGAGATAAAACCATAAAAACGAGACAGTAAGGACTGCATGGCTGCTGAAACGACCTCAGTACAGAAATTGGTATTTTGACAACTTCAATACTGTAATGTATTCAGTGTTTAGAAATTTCACATAGCCTCCCACGGATAAGGAATAAAGTCCAACAAGTGTGTTCACTTGATTTCCTTTTTCGATGGAATTGTCTTTTGCCTTTAAAAGACCGAGTTCTAAATTCGCGCTAATTTYCCGCCATAAAAATGGAATTCGGCAAAATTATACGGGATAACAATTTACATGTAGAAAACTAGAACCGAATCCTATTGGTGATAATTTTACACCACTTCTTTATTATTTCCCCCGCCGTTAATCCCTCATGATTTCATTGGTATGAAAGATAACTGGAACTTTCAAGTTGCTGCAGCCATCGCCGCCCAGCATTTCCAAGAAGTCAAACTGATAAATACCCGAGTATATAAATACTTTACCCAAATGTAGGCGCGCGTTAAACGTCAGATGTCATTTGTCAAATTGACCTTTTATTAATTTAGCCCAGCGCTTCTTCCAAGAAGAAAAAACCATAGACTCTTCCTTACTTATATGCGCTAAACAACTTAAATAGCCATAAATGAGCTGCAGACCTGATTGACGAAAAGAAGAAATGATTCAGTCAAGAGAAACATCAAGCAGTAGCGCTGGCGTAGCGAGGGGGAGAATAGTTTTACTGAGGCTGTGGATATGGCGGGAAACCCTAAAGTTGAAAGGCGTGCGCGTGTGTTTTGGCGGGAAAATAATCAGTACATTGCTCTTCTTATGACCGAGACCTTGCTTTGCCCTTGAGTAGACCCCAACAAACCACGTAAAACTAGAGAATTCTTCAGTGCCACATATGCCGGTTGCTGTTGGCGCATGGTAACTTAAAGTTCTAAATGCAGTTCTATACCATTCTGTATAGGTATCACGAGTGTCATAACGTCGGTTGCTGACCATGAATTGCCAAGAGCCAAAAAGGAGACGATTGCCTAACGTCTTGCAAACCCTAGGAAGACTCAGTCTACAGGATGACGGGGAGAGAGACTGGTACACGGAAAGCATGAGATATATAAACATGTATTTCCCAGACTGGAAAGACTTAAAGACGACAGTCATGGTTCCACCTGCCTTCCCAGTGTCTCTACAACAAGCTTCACAGGGAGATATCRCAGAGAAACGAGTGTACGACTTGCTTGAAGAGTTTGGCAAAGCATATCAACAACCAATGTTTGTGGTCCATTCACATCAATTTGCAGACCTGATTGAAGAAAAGAAAAAAGGATTCGAGGGCAACATCAAGAAGTGGAACAAAGGGGAACACGATTTTGTCATCATCCATCGCRAGTATGGATTTCTATTCCTGCAAGTAAAAAGCAGTAAATGTGAAGATGGTCAAGCCTTCAAGAACGCAATTTGGCAAATCAACAAAGACATTGAATCCATGAAAGCCTTTCTCAATGAATGCTTTGTACCCAGCTTGTTGCCACCAGACAACATGGAAAGAGTCCTGTACAACTATCCTGGCTTTGTTGTAATGCCAAATTGCCAACCTAAAAAGACCTCCATTRATCCCAGGGGAGTTTTCATGAACGACTGCAAGGACAAGGAATCCTTCAAGAAGTGGTGGGATGACAAAGTGGTCACCAGCAATAATAGGGTCATGAATGAAGAGCTTTATCAAGCTCTTTTAGTCAGGTAACCTAAAGTATAGTGCCTCTGTTGTGATGAAATCATTGACAATACTAATTATTAGATSACCGTCAAAAATTAAATTCGCAAGCATGTAGATTGAAAGAGTGTCGCTGTTGTATAAAATGATGATACTCGCGATAGATAGTTGATGAGGCATGGGAAATTCCACTTGATGGAGAAGTGTTGCCCTGTTTCGTTTCCTTCCAAAGTCCCTCCACATCATTGTGCAGTGGTTTGCTGTACAAACTCCTTTTGGCTAGTATCATTGATTATGCATTTATCTCCATATCTGCAGGTTCGTGGCTCTTCGTTGTTCGTCTCCAACAACCAGSYCTCAAATTGATGAAACTCACAAGCAAATCGTTCATTTCCACACTCCACAACAGCTGGAATGTATGTTGACTGCTGGAGCAGAGCAGTGGTGGGCTGGTCCAGCTGGRAGTGGCAAAACCGTGCTCTTGAAGAAAAAAGTGAAAGAATTAGCTTGGAAAATTCTTGAACAGAGAGCATCGGAAAAGATTCTAGTTGTGTGTTTCAACAAACCTCTCTCTGTACACTTAAAGAAACAMTTTCAAGATTGGTGGCGTATGCTTTCAAAGGACTTCCCAGGATCTCAACCAGACCAGTCTCCAGTCCATGTTTACACCTATGACTCTTTTATCAACAAGGTGTTCACTGAAATACTCCAGCTGAAAGATAGCTCTGAACTATACTCAGGACAGAAATTTGACAGAAGAAGATATGATGTCGAAAATTACTTCGAGGATCACGAATTGCTGTCTCCACTGGACAAGTACCAACACATCTTTGTTGACGAAGGACAAGATTTCCATGGGGAGAAATGGCTCAGTGTTCTCAAGAAGTTTCACGACCAAGATCCCAATAACAACAACGACAAGAACAGCAACAGCAGTAGTAGCAACAGGAACAGCAGCAACAACAACGATAACAGCAGCAGCGACAGCCGACACTATTTCTGGGTGTTTTTTGACTCCAACCAACACGTTCAGCCGAGAGATAACGAAAGCATTTCCTGGTTATTCAATCCTAACGTCTTTCGATTGACAAAAGTTCTAAGGAATACAGAGAACATATTCCTTCTTGCCAAGACCTGTTACTACGGAGATGACAGAAACGACATCGTCCTTGGACATCGAGAAGTTGGAATGAATGTGGTGTATGATGACAGTCTTTGGAGAAARAGATCAAATGGAATCCAGATTCTTGTAAAACATGTCACAGAATTGAAACAGAAGAAGGTGATGCYCAGAGACATTGTTGTATTGACAAAGACGAAGGATACTCTTCAGAATTTCCACATACCTCACTGTAATGCTGAATACCCAGATTATGGTAACGATTGTGTAGTTATCATTGACAGCATTAGGCGTTTCAAAGGGCTGGAGTCAAAGATCGTCATATTGTATGATCCACCTTACGAACTCGACCAAAATAGCGTGGAAACAACCGCCCTACTCTACACCGCAATCTCGAGATGTTTTTGTTATCTGATCATCGTGTCGACRGTGGATGGTTGCAAAGCGATCAAAGAGAGAGTTGAAAAGATGAAAGAGGAAGCAGATGGCCGTGGAGTTAATTCTGAAGACTGGGACTAACTATCACCTGCATGTGAAGAACTGTCAGGATTCATGCACTATCAGTTTTACCATTTCAGACCATATGCCATTACCTTGAGTATTATTTCTTTTGTATAGAAATAAACGTTGTTGACTATCTTTATAAGGAGTTTATATCAACACTGATGTATTTAGAACTACTGATATTGACAAATTCTTTGCCCATTTTGAAGGCTGAATTCGAGAAACTAGAGAAAAAAATTATTTAATATGCGGGGGAAGATTTCTCCTCAAAAAGCTTATTCTATTTGTATCGTAACACTTGTAGCAAAAAAGTGGAAACATCTGACTTATTTTCCACTCTAGTAAAAGTGTGATTAAGTTTATATATTGAGTTTATATAAATTGACATGTTATGCATCCATTAAATCTTTCTGTATTCACCTCAAACTGATGATTTATCGGCCTGCAACCAGTTGAAGAATTAAAGCCGCGTTGTGCCAAACTGTTGCAAATGAAATACTGCAACTGATTGAGGAGAACCAAGAAACAGGAAAATGATTCCCTCCATGAAAGGCTACCTAAGTTAAGCAGAAAATCCTTCATACCATTCAGATAAAAATACAATTATATATAATATACATATAATATAAAAAAATCTATAAAATAATATAAAATATAAAGATATTATGATAGAAATGTAAATACAAGCATAAAAGAGCGGTAATGACAACAAAAATATACAACAAAAATGGCCGCCAAACGCGGTTGGGACTAGGGACAATTGCATGGATGCGAGGTAAGGCATCATTAGTAAACAAAGTCTACTCAGTACGATATTTTGTGTCAAAGTCATTCATCTCACCAATTCGAGTTCTTTTAAACGTCTTTTGAAGTAAGGGTGAATGACTTTGACATTTGACGTAATTTATTTTAATGAAATATTCCTGTGGGTTTCCTGTGGTGCGGCATTTCCAAGAATACGACTTTCGTTTTCAGTCGTTTCAGTGCCTTGATGATTCGGTTTGAGACTTCAGTTATCGTTTGACTCCGGTGAAATGAGTTTGTGAGYGGGTAAGTATTACACTATTATACTGAAATACTTATTTTCCGATTCGTGATAACTGGTAATATTTGTATTAAAATTCTTAGTATAGTCGGAAAAGCATTTACAGCGGTGTAAAAGAATCTGTACTATATAGACAACACAACGTGTTTTCCCGCCAATTCTCTACGCTTTGTCACAAAGTTAGCTTTCATTCCAACTTTTATCATATCTAAAGCATTTTTATGGATTTTAATAATTGAAAAATGAAAAAAACGTGTCTTAAGAATTGATTAAGACCGCGACTCAATCAAAATTTAAAAAATGCTTAGATGAAACATGCAAATTTATTTAATTAACTATGGTAAAACGAAAGCCATGAGCCGTAAAACAAAGGAAAAGCATTTGTCTACTCATAATTGATTTATTCAAGATTACTAACGATCTCCCGTTGACCTTGTGGCAAGATTTTTTGAAATTGTTTGCTTGCTTAATCAGTTTCACCTRGGATCTCTATAAAATTAATCAGTTTCACCTTTAATAGTATAAGGACAGTCGTTACTAGTCTAATAAAAGAAAAATACATATATACTTAAGTTATATTTCTGTTAAATTATTCATTTTGAGAATCTTTTGATATTTATTGACCTCTGGTATCATATTTCTGAATAACAATTATTTCTCGATCTTTCAAAAGAAAAASGTTGATAATAAAGAAGGTGCGCGTATTTTTCCGCCAAAAACTCAATAATTAACGAACTTGGGGGGGAAACGTTTTCTAAATTTTAATTTGAAAKAGGAATCGGCGGTTCACCAATATAAATAGATGCATAATAAGCACTGTTTCCCCTGTTTTATTTTTATGTTTTTTCAAATACTCATATTTTTGTTCTTTTTAGTAAATTTTTCAGTTCAGTCTCATTATGGCTGGAACCAACAAATCTGGGACTAGACCACGCTCTGCAGACATAGAGAGTGGATATGAAAGTGACCCGGACCTTTCTTACACTATAAAAAGTTTAGAGAGACTGAGTCTTGAAGATGATGGAAAAAGAAACTGGCACGAAGAGAGTATAAATTACTTAGATGAACACCATAAAGAATGGAAAGATCTAAAAACGACAGTAATGGTTCCACCYTGTTTACAGCTAGACCCAGTAAACAAAACAACCGGGCAAGAAACRGAGAAAAAATTCTTTTACCTGCTAAAAGAGTTTGGGGAAAAGCACCATGAACAAATGTTTGTTGTTCACTCTTATAGTTTTAGCGAACTCATTGACAAGTTTGATAAAGGTTATGAAAACGAAACAAAGAAAGAATGGGTAAAAGGAGAGCATGACTTTGTGATAATTCATCGTCAATATGGTGTTATTTTTCTTGAGGTGAAAAGTAGGRAAAACACAAAGGGTGTGTATACAGAAGGCTTACGTCAAATTGAAAAGGGCAGGAATGCAGCTGTGTCATATCTAAAGAAGATACATGGCAAATCCAAAGGAGTCAATAAAGCTTCCTATGATTGGCCCGGATTTGTGGTGATGCCTAACTGCGAGAAGACAAAACAACACAATCCGTATGATAATGTGGTCTACAAAGAGGACTGCTTCAGTCCAGAGTCTTTCAAAGAATGGTGGGATGACAAGATTGCAAATGCTTCAAAGGAAATAATTGATTCAAGTGTCTATGAAGAGCTTGTGATAAGGTGWGTGAGAATATTCCCATCCCTGACACTTGCACCCACAGGGATCCCAAGCATYGGTATATTCAAATAATTGTGCTTTTTTAATTATCTATGCTTTTTTATGATAATGTTTGCCATTACCTTAATYGTAGCTAAATACCTATGAAGCTGAAATATTCATTCATCCATAAACCCACTCACTCATTCATTCTTTCACCCTTCTGTCCCTCCATCAACCAGTCCATGCATCCATCTTCCTGCCCATTCTTTATC